GGGGGGGGGGGGGGGGGGGGGGGAAGGCGCGGGGCAGGGGGGAACGTCCCAATTCCAGCGGGGGGGGGGGGGAGAGGGTGTTGTGGTGGCGCCCTTTGTAGGGGATGTCCGCGTGTCTTTCCTCAGACAGCCCGGCTCCCCCCCACCAGGTTTCCACCCGTCCTCCGTTTGCCGTTGGCTCCTCCTCCTCACGTCGCCGCTGCTGTGTGCACAGTTGGCTGCGAGAGCCCCGCGAGGTAGGACAGGTGCGAGGGCGCTCCAGAAAAAGGCCTTCCTGACCTTTTTTTTTTCCTTTTTTAAACCGCCGCTGTTGGCCTTTGTATCGCAACGCCCGTCCGCCACCGTCGCTAGTGCCCTTGCTGCTGAGAGAGGATGAGGGTTACAGGTAGTCCTCGACGTATGACTACAAGGGAGCCTAAAAAAAAAAACCTCTGCTGCTCGATGGAGACATTGGTTAAATGAGTTTTGCCCCGTTTTACGACATTCCTTTGCTACACTTAAGCGAATTGCCACAGTCGTTAAGTGAGGAACAAGTTTGTTAACTGAATCCGGCTTGCCCATTGACTTCGCTTGTCAGAGGGTCACAAAAGGGGACCCTGCAACTGTCATAAATGTGAGTCAGTTGCCAAACATCCAAATTTTGATAACAACAATGGGGATGGTATGAGGGCCATAAGTGTGAAAAGCAGTTATAAAATACTCTTTCCTGTACTGTTGTCACTTTGGTCGCTAAATGAACTGTAGTAAGTTGAGGACTACCTGTATTATGATCTACCAGTTTTCAGCCATGCTGGACAAGAAAGATGGGGTGACAGATAATTCCCAGTATAGTTTTTTGGGGGAGAACTGAAAAACCTTCCCCTATGAGACAAGAGTGGGCAAATTGTGGCCTCTATTATGACTTTTTTGCCTACAGCCTGCACAGGGAGAACTTATGGCTACCAGGAGAACTTCTTATGCATACCAGACACCCTAGGAGTTTTTTTTAATTATCTGCAAGGATGTTGTGGTTTTATTACAATTAGAATGAGCTACCTATCCCACCATTTGCCTCTTTCCCCTGCCAGCATTGCTCCACTTTGGGGGAGAAAAGGGATTGGCCTTTATCCCAGTACCCTGCCTCTTGCCAAAGGGCACATTGCAAAGAAAATACCCAGTAAACTGGCCAAAGTATCTGTCCCTGAGGGCTGAATCATTTCACTTTTCCCCCTGATTTCCCCAGCAGTTTTTATGCAAATGCAAATGTGTAGTGAAAATAAGGAGTTGGAAGGGCTGTGATTAAATCCAGGTGATCCAAATTAAGACCTCCCTTCTCTGGATGTGCTTAAGCAGAGCGGGACACAGGGTCCAGCTTTGCTTAAGCACATCCAGAGAAGAGAGAATCTGTTTCATTTCAACTCCAATATTGAATGCCTACAGATGGGAAGTTTTCTTTTTCCAGTGTTACTTTGCGGTAGCTTGATCATGATTGTGGATCTTTTGGTTTGGGAAGAACAAAACAAATCCTGATTCCATTTTCCAGATTATTTGATTCATTCCTTCGATTTAAAAAGGCCCACCTATCTCAACCTACAGCGGCTCTGTTGCAAAGTTAAAAATCCAGAAAATGATACAAAAATCCGAAAAGTAACAAACTTATTAAAAACAATAAAATTGATCAAAACTATTAAAAATAATCAGCAGCAGAACACAATTTCCTAAAAGTACAACTACTTGCTTAGTATGTCACTGCATCCCTGGGCCAGAAGATAAGAAGGTCAGAGCCACTCTCCCCTCTGGAGGGCAGGTGACTCAGCAAAAAAAGGTCTGACGCTCAAGAGACATCTTTCTTGTCTGGACAGGACCCATAGCTCGCCCTTCCTGGCAGGGCTGCTAAGACAGGTTTATGCGATTGGAGCGAAATGGACCCTCAAATGCCCTGCCTTCATGCCAGATACTTGTAAGTTGCTGTATTCACGTAGTCCTCAACATATGACCATAATTTGTAATAGTTTCTGCTGATGAGGTGGTTTTTAAGTGAGTACCGCCTCATTTCACAACCTTTTTAAAAAAAACCACAATTAAGCAAATCATTGTAATTTATACATGATTCATATGTTTGCTAAATGAATTCTGTTTTTCCCATTGACTTTCTTGTCAGAAACTGCCTGGGAAAGCCACAAATGGCAATCGTGTAACCCTGGGATGCTCGAAGTGTTGTAAATATATGCAGATTGCAAGCACACAAAGTTTAATCACATAGTCATGAGGATGCTGCAATGGTTATATGTGTGGGGACTGATCGTAAATCTTTTTTTTTTTTAACACAGTTGTAATTTTGAATAGTCGCTAAAAGTTGGTTATAAATCAAGGGACAACCTGTATATCCTTGTGTGTGTGTGTGTGTGTTTGTGTATGTCTATTTTCGAAGTTAGACTAGCATTTGCTATCCCTATCATGTACATCACTCATACTTGAGAATTTTAATATGTGAGGATAAGAGGATGGGAAAGGCTGCATTAAATGTCAGAACATTAGGTAACTGACTGAGATAAATAGGCTGATTTCCAGCTTTGCCATAAAGTCAAATACTTCTATTCAGAATCAGTTAAAGATGAAACTTTGAATGCTCACCTGTTAAAAAATCAGCTGAGGTACTCAGTATAATGGAAAATGCCCTTTGAAGGCAGTCTATAGCAGGGGTCGCCAACCTTTCGAACCTCAGGGACCACTTAATTCGTAATTTTAAATCCTGTGGACCACTAATATGAATTGCCTAATGACTGGGTGGCTGTATCTAAGTGGTCATGTGACTGGGTGGATGTGGCCAACTTGATGTCACTCACATCAAGGGATGCCTTGCCAGTCTCTTTTCACCCCTCTCCTGCCAATCACTCCTCGCCTCCCCAGGAAGCAGTTGTTGGAGCTAAGCAGCCACCCTGAGAAAGAGTTGGCAAAACAGCTCAGTTCAAATTGGATCTGACCGAGAAGAAGGCTCAGGTAGCAGCACCTCACTGAGGACTATGAACATAGGCTTTCCAAGCAAAGGGAAGGCCTGTGGGAGTGCAAGGCTAGTTAGCAGCACCTGAAGGCTCAGTGGGCTGAGATGGTCAGCCACTTTCAGGCCATGATGCAGTCCAACTGGAACAAGGCCCTCCGGCTCTTCGCTACCAGCAGCGCTTCCCTCCAGCCTTCACCCAAAGCCCCCCACCAGGAGGCTGAAGCAGACCCCAAGTTGGAATTTCTGCTCCCCTCTGACCCGCACAAAAAGACCCTGAAAGGAGAGACACTCTGCAGCAATACTAATGAGCTGAGATGGCGCGGTGGTTAGGGTGCAGTACTGCAGGCCACTTCAGCTGACTGTTATCTGCAGTTCAGCGGTTCTAA